GAATTTTTTTTTAATTATATAAACACAATAAAAAGGGAAGTTGTGTGTAATAAATTGTAATGAATTAAAATAATAATTATAATTGAACATTTGTTTTATAGTGTGTTGTTATAACAAATTCTTCAAGTCTTTGCTTCCAGGCAATGAAAATTGTGCAACATCAAAATTAAAGTTTTTGAATGATTTTTTTTCCACTTTGTAATTAAACAAATGTGGTATTTCAAGTATTGATAACTTCCAGATTTGTAATTATCAACAATGAATCACAAATAAAGTAGACATCGTAAAATTAATGTGAATGAGCTTGTTTAAGTACATATATTTTGTCACACATACATTTTTAAATTCCATTACATCCTAGCTATATTTCAATAGGTACAAAATCATTACTGGTAAGAGTAATTATTAGGGGATTTAATGATTTACAAACATCTTTTTTAATTTCTTTATTTTGTCCATGGTTTCCAAATTACAGTTTCACCAAGTAAAGAAAACAAAATCAACATAATCATATACAAGATAGTACATGTTTAAACATATACCTAGTAATGCTAGAATTTTAAAACTTTGACCATAATTTCAAAAACAAACTCAAGATTGTCATGGACAATATTGCAAAACAAAGTGCTAATGAAACATTTTGCTAATAAAATTAAGACAAATATGCAATCTACTCTCCAGTGATGAACTCTAAATTTCAATATTTATTTTTAAAGTTGATACTAGCATAATTTTTTTTATAATATTGATGGACACCTAATGTTCACAATGCTCACCTCAGTCAAATTGCTTTCTCTGAGTCTCTCAGCCCCCTATCTCTCACATCATGTAAATATTAAAAAAAAACCCTCTTTGTGGCCCTTAACCAGGTTTAGAGTGTCACATTATATATGTATTGACAACTGCATTTACTAAACATAAATTTGTCAGATTAGTATTCCCTTTTCAATGTAGTTCCCTTGTTATGCTCCTACCATGGCCACCCCCCCCCCCCCCCCCCAAAAAAAAAAAAATCAAGCAATTGAACCTACATTGTACAATAGTAACAATACAAATGAGGATACACTCTATAAAACTAAATGCATATAAATGTGGACATCTTTCCAATGCTGATCTGGTAATTTTTGTTTACTTAATTCTTACAAATAAAATCTCAATATATTGGTCAGGAGAAATTTGAGAAAAAAAACATTTTTGACTGTTCTGAAATACACCTATGACCTATTATGATTAAAAAAACATTCAGCAAATTGACAGATGCTCATCTGAAAAAAAAATAGTGTGTTACTCACAGAAAGCTGTGATTTTAGACATTGGTTTTACATACATGTATTTTTAAAGTCTGAAGTCTTTTTTTGTAATGACAGTGAGATAAGAACTACATGATAAATTTTAAAATAATCAGTCCTTGAAAACTTATGTATTAAAAGATTCACAAGATTAATCCCTATACACACGTACATTGCACACAATTAAAGATATTGTATCATATGATGTGTAAATTTTAATTTGAATACACAGCCCTTGTAGCAGACAGATAATGAAATGAATTCTTTCTGATTTAGAAATCTATTACAGAGTAATATATTTCAAAGTAAAACACTGAATGGAGTTCTCTTATTTTACATTATATGATTGATATTCTGTTACCAACATTATCTAAAAATCCTATATGTAAAACATCACAGGAAACAATGCAGCTAGTATAACGAACAAAATTGATGTTCCAAAGATGGCACTATTGGGCTCAGATTTTCACTGTATCCTCACTGGCAAGAGTCTGGGTTTACCATGGATTTCTTTTTAGTTTAGAATTTCAATGCAATTTTCACATGATATTCCTCAAAGACCTACAATAATAAAATGCAGTTGTAGAAGATCATTCAGCATGTTTAGAACATTCAACAATTAGAAAAAAATTATTATAACAGTAACAAATTACAAAACAATACTTATAAATCTTTTCTCTGTTGCCAAGGATGGCAAACCTTACCCTATCTGCAAACATTGCCCTCTCTTCAAAAGTTCAAAGAAAGAAATTAAGATATTTTTATCAAACTTCATGTGCTGATACATATTGTGGAGAGCTTTCAACTTCATGAACATTTTTTGATCTTGACCTCACTTTCTGAGTTTAGCTCAGTTTCAAAGAAACTATTCTATTATATATTTTTTATGTAAGCTTCTGCACTGATACATTATTTGGTGAGAATTTATCAAATTTGTCCAATTTTTTTTAACCTTGAGCTTCCCAATAACCTTTGACTTTAACATTTATTATGTATAAAACCAAATTTTAAAGAAATTATTCAAGATATTTTCATCAAACTTCATACACTGATACAAATTTTCATGCTGCATTACTAATGAACCCTGGGTGGAACATTCATGTCCTATGGACATATCTCTTTTTTTTTTTAAAACATATTTCTGGTTTTATGGTCTAATTTGCTTATCCATTACTAAGAAACCTGAACTAATATCAGGCACATATAACAAAACTCTTCACTGGCCTACTTGACTTACTTAAATAAATTATCAAGAATATAAATGATACAAATCAAAGCAAGTTTGGTATTGCAAATGCAATATGTCAATTAATTTTTGTTATGTATACATATCAAATTGTGAACAAGAACAGCTTAATATTAAATTATGAGAGGGGACCTGCTTTAGAAACTCTATATGCATTAACCAAAATGCCTTGAGCTGATCATTGTCATCAAAGCATTCAAATGACATGCCATGCACATCATTATCTAAACAAGCTCCTGGATATCCAAATGACTTACTTCTCTCTTGCTTTTCTTTTGTAATAATGGGGAGACTTGTGTTCATATTTGCAGTCCATTTGCACCTATAACTTATATCAACACCATTATGAATCTTGAGTTTTTTTATTCTTGGCATTGACTCCCCCTGTAAACAAAATTTTACAAGTACCTGTATTAATAAATTCATTGACAAATGGTGTTAAGAACGAAAAATTTTAGTGTTTATAAGCAAGAAACTTGAAATTAAAAAAGAGGAACTGCACATAGATACAAATGCATGGGCTATTAACAAACTTACTTGATTCCTTTGTGCAAAACTAAGGGCTGTATTAAATTGCATCTCAGAACATCTATGGGAAACTAGTTAAGGATATGACACCTACAATATGAAAAATATTTTAATTTAATTCATAATAATTTAATCAACAATAAATACACAATACTTGAAGCTTTCCATTAATTCCTGTTACTTTTATTGAAGAAGAAAATGGTAGCAAACATTTTCCTATTGCCTTTCCTCCATGTCCTCTGAAAGTGCCATTTAAACGTATAAAAAAAACTGCAATTTTTGGGAGGGTTTAGTCCATGTAATTGGATTTGGAGTTAGAAACCTCGAGATTATGACATAAGTCATGTAAAATTTTATTATACTATAGGGTAAGTTTTTATTACAGAAATAAGTGCATGTGTCTAGATATATATATGATACAGTGTCAAAACTGATGCAAAACAAATTTTGGAAACAATTTCACACAGTCACATGAATAGTTTATTTTTCTGACTAATGACTATTCAACATGTCCAATAACTTAAGTATTTTAATAAAAATTAGACTTCAAAACATTGCAGTTAAAGACCTGGACACACTTTTCCATGATGTGTTTTAAGGTCCAAAACAATGTTCCATACAATGTGCGGCCCTAATACTCGACAGTACAGCAAACAATCTCCTATTATTATGAGGCTCCTGAAGGAAATTTTATAACTAACTACTTTTTCTTTCTATCTGCTGAACAATATTGACACGTGTACTTACTTTCCGAATGTAATAATTACAATGTGTTATTGAATATATCACAACTTGCTTAACATTTTTAAATTTAAAAAAATTCACCCTCCTTGCAGAGCCCCATTTAAAAATAGTCTCTATGTACAAACACAACTTAACGGAGAGGCAATTCGGAAAGTGAAGTCAAGAATTTTAACTGATATCTGATCAGAAATCACATAGATATATGACATTTTTAGAAACTCTGCGAGTCTGCAGAAAATTATTACACGTTCATTGCAAGGATTAAAACAAAGAGTCACGTTTTTACACACCCGAAATGTGTCTTACCTTCTATCAGCTGTTTTCACCGGAAACAATGGACATTCATTCTTCTATCGCCATAGAAAAGAGATCCGCCGTAAACACATATGTTTAGAACTGTTTAATCTTTTCCCATTAGTTTGAAAGGAGTCAACAAACTAATAAGACTTGTTCTAAGCAAAATTCAATTGTAATAAATGCATCTATCCACAAAAGAAATATGCATATGCCAACCACGTGTTCCGTGGAATGATATGACTGAGGAAACTCGAGTGATAAACAGGACATTTTTTCCCGGTTTGCGAGAGATGGGTTAAAATCGCGTTCTGTCATTAATTAGACGATGCGATGCAACAAATAAAAGATGTAAGTTGTATAAACTAAGGACCATTACTTAGATATGTCTTGTGTTGATGTCGTTACTGTCTCATTTATTCTAAAAACAATGTTATTTGAAAACTGTGTGACAGAGGAATGGCGGACATAATAAACGCATGGCCTCAGGGAGACCACCATACGAAAAATCAAATTTTCAAAAATTATGGACAACGACAAGAAAAAAGCAAAACAAATGGTTGTAGCCATATTATTAATAAACTGAACTGACATCATTTTCATTGCATTATTCATCTCCTGAATGCTGTGGCTGCGCAGTTCTAACATGATTAATTTTCACCAAATGCAAACAATAGAAAAATAATTATTTAATAATTTTGGTCTCTAACAGTAGGTAATAAGTGCATTAGCACTTTGAGTAACTTTGAGCTGGTTTGGTAATGTATTAAGCGCATTCTCGGTATTTCTTATTTTAGACCAGAATACATCCAAGATGGCTTGTACATCCCCCTTAAACTTTGACCAAGAGTGCAAGGCAAAATATTTAGACTGTCTTCCTGAATAAAGAAAAACAGAAATGAAAAATGGACTGTTGTTTTATTAATTTTAAAATATTTAAACACATCACATCAAATTAATTTTAAAATCTAAAAGCAAAATGCAAAGTAGAAGATGTTAAGAAAATTAAAAATTGTTTAAAACATAAACGGATTAAAAATACCACACAAGTTCAACAGGACGAGATGTTTGCGTATCTAACATATATACATGTATGTAACATTTGAAATAATCAAAATATTTGCTTCAATATCAAAATTTGCTTAAATCACAGAAAAGGTATACATTTACGAGATGAGGTAATGTAAAATAAAAACACTGAAATCACATGATAAACTACTTCTATATATACAATGTAGAATTGAAATGGATTTAAAAGTAGAAATATACAAATAAAATTGATAGTCTTGATAAAAAAAACCCCAAAGTTATTACAGTAAAATGAGTTCCGTATAAAGAACAAAAACCGGGATTACATGTGAATGTTAGAAAATACTAGTAGCCCTCTACGTGTCAGCAGTGCTCGACTCCATACTACATCCGGTTGAATTTGCCCACAACTTGGTGACAATTTGGACAAGTATGGATGACGTCCTTGCAGCCATCGATACAGAATGGAATCAAGCAGCAACCAAGCCATAGCCTGTTAAATAAATTTTTGTGTAAAATTGTTCAATTTAGAAAATATATAAAAAGACTTCCTACACACATTTACCTTTAAAATACTGTTATCAGCCAAGACATCTTCAACACTAAATTGTTTAATTACATTGTATATGAGATTTTGCTAGTCCTGAATAGCAAGCTATTTTAAATAAATTTTTAGTCAAAAACCGAATTTACAGACAAAAAATAAATTCAGAAATTTCTATTAAAGTGTGTTTCTAGGGCTACTATACAGTACACGTATATTCAGTGGATTGTGAACTGGTCATCGCATCCCAGTAACATACAATGTATTGCAATTCATTGGTGCATTGAAATTACAAAAAATAGAGTTAAACCCCTAGCTGTATAAAACAAGAATGCACAATAATCATATGATAGGGATTTTACCCAAAGAGTATGAGCACTCCACAGATAATCCATGTCAGTGTTCCTGTCTCATAGGTCGTGCTTGTCGTGATGTTGGCCTGGCAATAGGGACACTGCATAGGGACCGAGGTCTCCCGAAAGATATGCCCCATCACTGGTCGGCCTGCCATGACCACAGTAGTTTGCTGTTGTCCTACAAAAAGTCAGCCGCGTCATCTTGTTTGTAGATTTTTTTATCAATTTTTTCTCATTCCAATCAAGAACATTTTTAAATATCAAATCATTGTCCTTGGCATTATGAAGCAAACTAATGGGAAAAATGCTATCATAAGAGAGTAGGGGCGATAACTAAAGCTGCAATTTCAAAATATTACTATTATATATATAGAATCATGTGTTCCTAACACAGTTTTCACTATTTCCATACCAAAATATGTTATTAATAGCCCTCCTGGTCCTGAAATTGAGACCATCCAAAATTTCTCCTATTTATGCTGCCATTTTGGATGGCAAGAAAATTCGGCCCAACGCGCTTTGTGCAAATATCAGCTACAGCTGAAAGATCGCCTCGTTTTAAATGGAGCACAGACCTATAGGACCGGGAATGGTTAAACCTTATAGCTTTCTGTTCCAGTCAATCACTTTAGGCTAAATATATGTAGTAACTCGCTTCTCATATACAGTTTGATCATTTTATTTTTAGTCAATGCACGTAGTATGTGGAGATAGGGGGAACCTTTTTCATGGGCTTAAATTATGAAGTCATATTGGTGACGCATTTAGCTCGAAAAGCTTTTTGGATTTTTATTGTAATGATAATGTTTATTATAGGAATAATTCTCTTCTTGATGCGCATGTATTTTCCAACACATTTTTGCGGAAATATAACAAAAACTTATGGTGTCATTGATGTATACAAATTATACAAACGAATCCAAAGTCTAAGAATTTTTTTTGAAATTGAGCTTTTGTGCAGTTGAGGTAAGAACTTGGAGAAATAAATCTAGAACCGAGCGCAATTCTATGTGCGCAATAAATATGGGTGGCAGTGTGACTCTCCTGTCTGTCTTTTTTTTTCCGGAGAGCTACAGTTCTGCATGCAGCTATAAAGAAAGATAATTGAAGGAAATTACATATGCCCCTATTAAAAATACAATTGAAAAAGCGAGAATTTAAAACTGTAAAAGCACGGCACCAGAAGGATTCGAACCAAAAAAAAACTCTAAAAAGTAACGTCGGTATTAAGAGCCAGCGCTAACCATCTGAGCTGATTTGGCTGTATAATACGTAGCCATACATATGTGTACAAACCAGTTGCAAAAACACGTACATTTATTTTCTTTTCTTGGGGGGAGGGGGGGGGGTAAGATTTTTTTTGTGATTTTCGACCCCAGGGCAGCGGTGCCCCAAAAACATTATTACTTTAAATTATTCTTTAGATCACATCCTATCAAAATATAATTTTATTTAGGGTAAAAAATAACTAAAAACAAAACAAAAACAAACAAAAAGAAATTTTAATGAGACTTTTTCCGAGGAATTTTTCTCTCCCACAGGTCAATTCTTTTGAACTTCCAAAGACATTCTTGAGTTATATCGGCATAGGCAGAAAAACAAACATATATGCATTTAAATACATGTTTTCACGGAACAAAAGATAGGGTAATGGTGATCGGATCCTAATATATAGATTCTAGTAGTAACTAACTCAAGCCCCAATTTTCAATGCCTTTAGTATACCTATCTTTGCACCCCTCCCCCCTCCCCCCTCTATACAGTACATGTATATATAAAGGTAGAATGTTTCATAATTTTCAAACCCCGATTCTTAAAAAAAAAATTAAGAATTTATCAAGGGGTTAAATTTTTTCCCCCGTGCCCCCCCCCTTTCAATTTGCTTCCGACGCCTATAGATGTACTAATATTACAATTTTACAACCCCAGTCATACAAAATCCCGTCGCAAAATACTTTTTAGTTATAGGTACAAATGAATCCCCAGGGGTGAATGAATTGTACTTAAAATTTTAAAAATAAAAGCATTAGTGTGTTTTACTTTGTCAGTGTTATATTACATGAAAAGTATTTTTTTTTTTTTTTGTTTATATAATCCATATCGTGTCCATTCGCATAATTTAATTAAATGAATTAATCTTTGCCATCTCACCATATTAAATTTTCCTTAGAATTTAACACAAATTCTCTAGAGTTATCAACCATGACGTTACAATACATATGTGAATGGGTCAAAGGCCCCCTGAGGTGTTGTTATTACGAACGTCACGGTGCAGTAGCACAAATCCTGTTTAAAATCCCCGTCTGAATGGCTAAATATAAATCGACTCAATACTAAACACTGTAAATTAAACAACTACTATGTAATGTTTATTTTTGTCACAGATTTATGGAATGCTTTTTAAAACCAATTTCACTACATGTACCTTTTAACCAAAACGTAGACAAGACCGAAATTCGAGGATGTCCGAACACTACACAGCGGCCATACCTGGCCTTTGCCAGGCTTTGGGGAGTTGTCAGACAGAAAAAATGACCAAAGTTTTCACGTATTTAAATTTTCATAGTTTAAAGGAATGGATTAATTTATGAACTATTTCATAGTACTTACCATAGGCAGGAGGGGGCTGAGAGTACCCCGGGGGTGGGGGTGGTGGATAATTCGAAGGTTGTCCTTTATCGCCCATCTTCGCTGTTTGGTATTTAGCTCTTTGTTAGGGTATGGAAGAGCGTATGAGCTATAAAATGATGAATTATGTGCCGTGAGATGCATTATGTAATAAAACGGAAGCAGCTTATACATAAAAAAAGTGTAAACTGTTCAAACCCTGATTTTACAACAATTTCTTTGGTAACTAGTAAGTGAAAAATAAATTTAGTTGTTCCCGAAAATGGAAAAAAAAATGAAATGAACGAGATTTAGTGGGATTCAAAAAAGTGTAATCAAAGCTAGAAGCATCAACTATCATTACCTGATAAATGTTATTAAAAAAAGAAGAAATACAATTACAAACAAAAATAAAGCAAACATGGCAGTACGTGTTCTTTCCATTTTCTACCTTTTTTTTTTAGATCACCGACTTTCATGGCAGTTACGGTCGATGAGAATTATCAAACCAAATCCTATGTACTTCGCTTTCAAGATTAAAGTGAACCAATTAAAATTACAATAATGATATGACTGTTCGTGACTACATGTATAAAAGGTATTTGTTAAAACTGATGCCATAACATCAAATTAAGCTTAACCATTATCTTTCGAAATAAAATGCCATAAGCAAAAATTCTATCACGCTTAATATAAAACACTTGCCACGGACATAACTATACTTGAAAAAATTTGAACTCAAATAAAACCTCTGTCAAAAATGTAAAAGAATGTCGACTACAGACAAATAACAACATCGGGTAGACCATTGGAAATACATATTGGAAAAGATCTGTAATATTGGCCCCAGCAGATTTTCGTAAAGAGTTGAAATTTTTCTGGCACTGGGGTGTCAAATACCTACGTATATACTGATCTTTAATGGCGTCTTCGGGCGACCGATCTTCCTGTTTAGGAATGGGTTGCTTATTGGCTACTTGTCTGCAAATTAGATAATTACATGTAAAGACCAGTGCAGATACAATGTAACACATAAATATATGATATAAAATATTTTCAAATAAAAATATTTATAGGCACAAACACAATTACTGTAATTGGCAAATACCCAAAATGCATGTATAAGAATACATCGTTTACACTGTGAAGATAAGCTTCAGTTATACAAGTGCATGTAAATACTGAATCACTTGATTCTTACGTATCATTGTTATGTAGATAATAAATAATTAATCAATAAATGATTATGCGATTTTCAGAACTTTTGGAGATTCAGGAAATAGAATACTAAAAAAATTATGCTATAGAAATTTGTAAAACACTTTGTGTAAGCCTGAACCACATATTTATCACCAAATTTCTTCATTAATTAAACCAGCATCATTTCTTTTCATTCTCCCCAATTCTAAATGTTTGTATTCATATTGCAATTCAATCGGAAAAGTACGAAAGCCGGATAGGCTCATTTTTACGAAAGCCATGAAGGGACATGAGGATTTTCAAAAAAGTGTAAAAGTAAACCGAGATCTCGATTTATATAATCCGTTCTCTCGGATTGACAATCTGTTATAACGAATTACTAATTCGTTCTCACAGATTATCAATTCGTTCCCTCAAATTACACAATCCGTTATCTCGGATTGTAATTCGTTCTCTCGGTTTAAACGATTCGTTCCCACGGTTTAATTATTCGTTCTCTCAGATTATCAATTCGTTCCCTCAAATTACACAATGCGTTCTCTCGGATTGTAATTCGTTCTCTCGGTTTAAACAATTCGTTCCCACGGTTTAATTATTCGTTCTCTCAGATTATCAATTCGTTCCCTCAAATTACACAATCCGTTATCTCGGATTGTAATTCGTTCTCTCGGTTTAAACAATTCGTTCCCACGAAATTTAAATCGTTCCCACGAATTAGTTATTCGTTTTCTCAGATTTTTAATTCGTTCCCTCTAATTAGACAATCCGTTATCTCGGATTGTCCCTTCATGGCTTTGGTACGTTCCAGACTATTTTTAAGTCGACAATTGGGATTGGAAAACCTTTTTTTCAGTCATGGCACAGGGACAAGGAGTGGAACATGAGGTAAGTAAACTGAATAATTACTGAAGACGAAATATAATTACATATTTAATTTCCGTAGGAACCGGAGGGGGGGGGGGCACGGGGCACGCCCCCAATAATTTTGCTGATATATAGTATACTATAAAAAAACATAACCTGCTCTACCCCCTCAATAAAAATGTCTGTTGACCTTTATTTTGCTTGTCTAGGAATTTTTGGTAGTTGATAGTGCCCCCAACTGAAAATGTATGCCTGTGCCCCCCCCCCCCCTTTCAACTGACATTGCTTCCTACGGGCCTGAAATGCATAAACCAAAAATCATTGAAAAATTGTTCTCAACGATACTCATTTTTGCAGGAGGAAATCTACCATTTAATCCATCAGTACTTCCATTATGATTTACGATATCAAGACATTGTGAAAGTTTTGTTTCTTAACCATGGCATTGTAATGTCAACACGTCAGTTAAAAAGACACCTAAAAAATTTAAATCTTACGAGGCGGAAGATTTTCTCCTCTGCCCAGTCTGTTTTTAATTTTGTATACAATCAATTGGAAACATCTGGACAAAGTCATGGCTATAGATGGATGCATCAAAAGTGTAAAATGAATGGCTTCAAGGTGAAAAGAGAAGATATAAGACTGTTGCTTCAAGTGGTTGATCCACATGGTGTTGATATCAGATCGAGAAGAAGATTAAAAAGGCGAGACTATTGGTCAAAAGGTCCCAATTTCTGCTGGCATGTAGATTCGTATGATAAATTAAAGAAGTATGGATTGTGTATTAACGGATGTATTGACGGTTATTCAAGGAAAATTATTTGGTTGAAAGTTGGCCGAACAAATAATGACCCGACAGTCATAGGAAGATATTATTTAGACGCAGTAAATGTTCATGGAGGTTCCCCTTTGTTTATGAGAGGTGACATGGGTACAGAAAATGTACTCATTGCTGCATTGCAGAATCTCTTCTCTAGAAACGACACACTTGAGCATAATCAATTTATCTTTGGAAAGAGCTCATTCAACACAAGAATTGAATCGTGGTGGGGTATTTTGAGAAAGGAATGTTGTCAGACATGGATGGAAGAGTTAAAGGATTTACAAAATCGGGGTCTTTTTACGGGTGACAAATTGGACACCAATCTGCTTCAGTTTTGTTTTATGGCGTTACTTCAGGTACATATGTGTCTGCTCTAGAGACTATTTTATTTCTTTCCCTTTTGACCTTTGAATTAATTTAAAATTGTACAATCTTATAAAAGAATTTATGAAAATTAAGTATAGTAAGATTTCAAATTTCAACAATATTTATTTTTTGTTATGAGTTACGATAAAAAAAAATATATCGAATTTAAACTTTGCAAGTACTGTGTATAAAAATCACTTCATTTTCTTTTCAGACTGAGTTGGACGAAGTAGCACGTGTGTGGAATACTCATTATATGCAGTCTAAAAAAACGGCAGAGGGAAGTGTTCGAGGTCGTCCATCGAATGTTTATCTTTTTCCAGAGCTCTTTCAAGTTCAAGATCATATTCATCCGATTGACGGAGAAGTTCTTGAGCTTTGTAAACATGAATGTACCATAGAAAACGTGCTTCCATGCGATGAAGAAATATTTGAACTCGGTTGTATTTTCATGGAAGAATATGACTTAGAACCACCATCAAACATTTATGAAGGAAAGGCCATTTACATTGATTTTCGTTCCTGGATCATGAATGTTATGTAAAAACAACCAAAAGTCTTGTAATCAGAAAAACTAGTAACGCTATTTTCAAAATGTATGCAAACAATATACGTGTATCATTAATTTACAGTCTACATGTATTTGTTAACACAAATATTAAGATTTATTGCTCTGTATCATCTCAAAATGGTGGTTTATGGATTATAAGCTTGATCAATAAAAAAAGGATTATAAGCTTGATCAATAAAAAAAGGATTATAAGCTTGATCAATAAAAAAAGAAAACTTTTTTATCATTTCACCAGCTGGACCTTTTGTTCTTCCCCGTAAAATTGTCCTAAGCTTTGAGCTAAAATACATGGTGTCTTATTTTCTGCCACATCTTGTCAGATAATTATGTCGACTTTGTTAGATCTTTATTTTGATATGCCAGATCCTTATATCTACTGGTCAGATATGTTTGTTGACTTGTCAGATAGTAATCCTCATGACTAGAAACTCGGTATCTTGATATTAAAGCTTGCCAATGCCACTGATATCTACTTGATATCATAGAATCTGACAAGTTGATATAATTATCCAAAAGTCATCATAATTATCTGACAAGTCGACATAATTTTCTGACAAATCAACTTGATAGATATTAAATCAACTTTTCAGATAACGATGTCAACTTGCCGAACTTTTGTAAACTTGTCAAATAAGTATGTTGACCTGTTGTTTATTGATGTCGACTTGTCAGATAATTATGACGACTTCTCAGATCCTTTTTTTTTGTTTTCTTCTAAAAAAAAAGTATAATGTCAACTGGTTAACACAGTTTATGCATGGACACATGGGCATCTCTGTTTGAAGTATAAATCATTTGCTTGCAAAGTATGCATAATAATTATCCCTGTGACTAAACTAATTCACCGCCACAGTTTTGAACACCCCCCCCCCTTCCCACACACAATGAATTCCAAAAAATATCATGACAGAATAAATATATCAGATAAAATTTAATTATCAGCACATCATATCTTATTTCTTATTAGTTAGAATAATGTAATATACACAAACAAGCAAAGATGTATGGCTGACTTAAACGACCTTTATATTTTTTATAAAGACTGTAGCAATATGCAATTCAATGAATCAAATGAGAACCATGTTTTAACTCAGGAAGAACTCCTTTTAGTATTTGATTTGCAATTAAATCACTATATTAATCAACCAATTACACATTTGAAGTTTTAAAAAGTATTAAAATATTGAAAAATAATAAATTTAGCGGTGATGACAGAATTATAAATGAGTACATCAAGAGTACATCTGACTGCGTATTGAACTTGTATGTTGAGCTATTTAAAAGAATATTTAAT